GCCACTTTGTGTGAGCTGAAGGTAGTCTCTGTTTAAATGATGTCTTTATGAATAATTTAGTTATGTAAAGCTACCACAGTATTTTTCGAAAAATTTAAACACAAACACTTCGGAGATTAATCTTTATTTTCTGATGTTCAGTTGGCCAATTTAATATTTCTTTCTTTGTCAAGAAACTTCGATCCATCAAGGAGTATCTTCAGTAGAAACGTAACTATTCAAGTCACAAGGAGTACATCCGAAATAGAGGCTGTAATACGAATACAAGGCGAGAGCTATCGCAGTCGAGACTATCTTGAGTTTGGGTGTGTTTCTATGGTGACACTTAAATACCGATGTAGCTTATGTTGTAATCTTGTCGTTCTATTTTATACTCGCGTGCTTTGCGCCTTCTGGAGGACAAAAGATGTTTTCGAAAGTCATTCTAATTGTAACGGCAGGGTCAGCGAATGTTGTGTTGAAAATCTCTCAGATTATTCTCATAAGTGATTCATCATTTCAATGTTATTTTAGATCGAATGGATTACAACCTTTGAAAGGGGTCGAGTTTCATTTCTTTCTGTTGGTTTTGTTGGAAGAGTAACTTTCAGAAAACATCTGAGGCGATAGAATATAAAAACTTTACTATTTTACATAAAAAAGTCTCGGGCATTGTAACATCTGCCAGTTTGAGTGAACGAATTCAGTCCCTATTTGACAACATAGCTTTATGAATAAATTAGTTTCACAAGGATATCACAAAACTATTTAAAGATAAAATCCATGAAGTTCGATATATTTTTCAAAGTTATAATTATTTCATTTTTTAATTTCACACTGGTCATTCTAATCTTGCCATAATTATCCAAAGTTGTTCGATGAAATACTCCAGGTAACACATCAATTGTTACAAAATTAAGGAAAAGTTCCGGAAATGGATATTTTATTAGTGATAAATCCTTTATCGTCTTGTGCTAAAGTTTACACAGTTCGTTCCCAAAGAGGATACTTATCAGGTGTATTTAGTGATAATAGAACAGGTAGAGTATCGTCTGAAATTTTTAAACTAAAAAATTACTACCATTAACAAATTATATATTAGATTTCGTTCAGGAGAAATCATAACCTTATCGTTTCGCTTCTGTGTCGCAATTAAAACGACTTTCGCTTCTCAAGAAGCCGTTAAACAGGCCAATTACTGAATAAATCGTAATTTCCACATTGTAACAAGTTGAAAAAAGAACTATTTTCCACCAACTGACGTGCCAAGTTATTATCAGACAGGATTATTGAGTATTATCAATTCAGTTGATACCGTAAATTTGACACCGTAACGAGTATAAAAGCTGACGTTTTGAGCCTTAGCCCTTCGTCAAAACACTGTTATCAGACAGTTCAATAAGCCAATCACATTCAAAGTTGTAGTTTAAATCAATCAATTATATCAAACAGCTGAACAATTTACGCCTCCTTTGTCAGTCTTTTGATGCAAATTTCTCTTTCTACCATAACTTGGCTACTCACTCTTATGATTACAGACCGAATTGGACTCCGCTCAGTCCTTTCACCGTTTCCAAAATAATTATTATACGGTTGCATCGGGGTTCAAGTATCATCATTTCACACGCCAAAAATATCCCGATAGTTCTAATGACAGTTTATTTCAACAGCGGAGGCTTGCTTAGCAACAAAAGGATAGAAAACGAGAAAACATGACACTGATCTCGGTGAGCCGTTGGTTTTTTTTTCAAGACAGTGAGAACTGTTTGGTTACTAATTGTATTTGGCCTTAACGAACAAAAACCCTCCAGAAGTCACCCGTGGACAATCCAAAATATTCTGCACTTTTATCATTGGAGATGTCGTCACATTCCCACAAGCTCCCCATCAAATACCAGTAATATTTTCCGCGTGAAGCAACGACACGAAATCTGTTTTTTTCCCTTATAAGAGTATCCCCACTCTTTATTATGCCATTGATTACAATCAGCAGCTAACATCGAGTTTTCATCATTCATCCTCACACACGAGCCACACGCTTTCGGATTGGCATCTGTCTGACCACTGAAGTATTGTACTACTGCTTCACCACTGCTGTTAGAAGCCGTGGTCAAATGGAGAGTACGTCCCTTGTTTTTGCTGCAATGGAATCTCAACTGAGTGAAAGACAAATGTGTTCTCAGTTCCTTCATGGCATCTGTCGTGAGTAACAACGACTTGTAGTGGCAATTGCTTATTTCATGGTGTGATGATTCGTATGAATACCGTAGCGAGGATAGGTTGCCGACAACAACGTTGGAGACCAGAAGCCAACCTCCTGGGAAAAAGAAATCAAATTAAATGAAATTCTTGATCAACCAAAATGATATTGCACTCCATTTATTATAGAAGGACAGTTTGTGCAGAAGTAAAAAAAACACCGTTATCGTTATCATTTTTTCTTAAACATCCCTTCCCTACCTCCATCGGTTGTCATATCACAGTAGACCTTTAGAAGGCTTCCTTTCTCCTTAAGAGCAATCCAGTACTCCCCGTCTTTAAGATGGGAACTTGTGCTCCGAATTTCCTTACAAGAATGCCCTAAGGAAGGAAATGCGGTTTTTTTCCTAAATGAAAGGCGTAATCTTTCCCACCTATGTGAATTAGGTGATTGAACACAGCCAGTTAAAGACCATTTGGTAATGGCAATCTCGTAGAGAAATATTCTTTCGGGTTATACATGCACATGATAATGGAAGGCAGTCGCCATTTACCACTTGTTTTTCCTTGAATTTCTTTTGTTTTTTTTTTTTAATTCTAAGATTTCCTGACCACAAACGAAACGCATCCTAATTGGTTTTAGGCAAGTATGTGTGGCAATATCAATCACAAACGATAAAACGATCATTTTTGTTCAAAAGTGCATGATTCTTGCGCGATTTAGTGTGGAACAGTTAAAAAAAACACTTTTTAGTCAGTACCACCGATTGATATAGTAGTCAGAATTTACAATCGTACGCAGTAATTTATGGCTTATCCTGTAAGTCTCTACAAAAAGAGGTTCACAACCTTCTGTGCAGCTGTTTCTTCCGTCTCCAGTTAATCCTGGTCTACATGTGCAGTTGTAGGAACCCACAGTGTTATCACAAATGGCCTTGGGATCACAACCACGTAGACCTTCCACACATTCGTTGACATCTGTGGATAAGGATGTCTTAATTAAGCATCCCTCATCTTCTTTGTTTAACATGCTCCTAAAAATGGGAAATGATTTTTACAAAAGGCGAACCTTTTTCACAATATTTTCCTGTCCAGCCAGATGAGTTACACGCACACGTGTAGTTCGTTTCACGGTTTACACACTTTGCATCGTTTTGGCACTGATGTTTGACACAATAGTCTGCAACTAGGAAGAAAGAAAATCGATTTAGTAAAGTCCTCTCATTGCCACAGCAACTACATGCTAAGAACCATGTCTTGTACAAATCTTCAGTCTTCATGTCACAGCCAGCTAAAATAGAATTACCAGATCTGGTTGAATCCATCCAATAAATTTTACCGCTGACCACCTTTCCGCCTTGACTCGCCTTGATCTCCTTGCACGATTCCGCGGGCAACTCACGAATTGTTCCGAGAGGAACTGCAATTGAAGCGAT